GATCACCCAGGCCGATCGCCCAGCCCCCCGCCGCACCCCGCAAAGCCGTGCACCCAGCTCCACGGGGCACCCTACAACCTCACTGCACAAAGCCGTCCACCGAGCTCCATGGGGCACCCTGCAAACCCCACACTGCAAAGCCATGCACCCAGCTCCATGGGGCACCCCACAACCTCACTGCACAAAGCCATGCACCCAGCTCCATGGGGAGCCCCACAACCCCACTTTGCAAAGTGGTGCACCCAGCTCCATGGGGCACCCCACAATCCCACCCTGCAAAGCAGTGCACCCAGTTCCATGGGGCACCCCACAACCCCACCCTGCAAAGCGGTGCACCCAACTCCATGGGGTGCCCTGCAACCCCACCCTGCAAAGTCATGCACCCAGCTCCATGGGGCACCCCACAACCCCACCCTGCAAAGCGGTGCACCCAGCTCCACGGGGCACCCCGCAACCCCCACAGGCCCCACCCCCCTGCAGAGCTCCCAGGCCCTGACCCTACCCCAGCCGTCCCCTCCTGGGTTCGGGCTACCGGACCTGAGCCAGCGGACAGCAGCATCAGCTCCGTACAGGACACCTGAGTCCCCACCTCGGCTACTCAGCTGCAGGGCAGGGCGGAGCCCTGTGTGCCTCAGTTTCCCCAGGACCGTCACCCCCCTGGGATCATTAAATGGGGTGGGGGGAGGCTGAAGCAGTGATGGGGGTGGATGGCGCAGGCATGGGCAGTCTCCAGGGTGTGGGGTGAGATTTTGGGGACCTCTCCCAGAGCCCATCCTACCCCACCCCAAGGGGGCAAGCACGAAGATGACCAGGCGAGCGCGGCGCAGCCGGCTCTCTTCAGGGCACCCCTGTTCCAGTACCCCGCGGGCACCGTGGTGGGGTGGAAGCCCGTGCCCGGGTGGTGCATGGCTCCAGCGAGTCCCCGTCCCAGCCAGGCCTGGTCGAGCTCACCCCGAGCGAGGGGCCTGGCCCCACGCCACATTGGGACCAACCCTGAGCTCCCAGGCAGAGGCCGTGTCCTCGCTGCGGAGGACGGCAAGCCCCTCCATACCAGTCTGATCAACACCCAGGAGACCCCAGCAATTAAGCCCAGTCCTGCCCCCTGCTTCTGACCCCGTCTGGGCAAGCCTGACCCCAAACGCTTGCCCTCCTGCCGCTCCAAGCTGCCCCACGGGCTACGGAGGGATCCCAGGAGCCCCCGAGGCTTGCTGTGACCCCCACCCCGGCGGGCCCCGTGGACCCGAGGCGCCTCTTTCACCTGCGCAGTCATCTTTGCATCAGCCGCGCGCCCGGGCTCGGCTTCCTGCCCCGGGTCCCCGCGGGCATCGTCCCTCGGGCTCTGCAGTGCAGCCCCGGGGCAAAAATAGCTCCAAAAAGTATGTGCCTGGGGCATGTGCCCCCCCACCAAGCCGGGGAGGGGCCGAGTATGTCCATCAGCTCCCCGGGGACGCTAGCGCTTGCTCGGTCTCCATCCCGGGTCCCCTGCGGGCAGGGGGGTCCCGCCGCCCCAGTCTGAGGTGGGGTTTCACCCCCATCCGGGGAGGCCTGGCGCTGGGGGGCCCCCACGTGGGAGCCCCCTCTACGCCCCACTCGCGGACCTGGGGCCTGCTGGAGCCGGGCGACGGACCCCGCTGGAGCCGGGCGACGGACCCCTGGACTGCGGTCGTGGGGCCGGCCGGACTGCCCCCCCACTGCTGAGTCACGGGCCCGATCCTGCTGACTCATGGCTGGAGGGAGCCTGACTCAGCACAGCCCAAGCTGCCGTGGGTGCCAAGGACGGGACGGAGGCGCTCGGGGTCCAGGCGCTGCCCGGGGCGCAGGGGGGGGCACACGGGACGGGCCTGGGCCCCGCAGCAAGTCCTAGCCCTGGCACTGCTGGTGGAGAGTCAGCTGCCAGGGGAGGGGGCGGCCCAGCGAGGCCCCCGCAGCCCCCAGGGGGCTGGGCAGGACCCCCTTGCAGCGCTCATGGCCGGATGGAAGGGGGGGGTCACCCAGGCTGGCTGG